AGTTTTATTTACAAAACTGCAATTCCTGATCCTTATATCACCACTGTATTAACTTTCATCATGTTCCACTCCAGTACCTCAAAAGGCTCTAAAAAGTATTTATTTTCATCTCACACGTAAAATATAAGTTTAAAACTTATGTGATGCTTCGATTTTTGCACAAGTAACTTTAATTAACATAAAAATCAGGAAGATTAAAATTAGCATCTTTGCCACTCGGCTTCCACTGCTCTATGGCAGAAGAACCAGAAAACACAATCAGCTGATGGCCCTCTCCTTGAGTGCAGCACTATTTATTTGGGGACAGTTGTAAGGGTTCTCACCTCCAGCTGTCCTCCCTGTATTCTGCTGGAATCCCCACCAGGCCACTGCAGGGAGAGCTCAGCTGCTCCAGGGCAGCTGCTGAAAGGCTACTGCTCTTGGCTAAAGAAAAACAGGTTTGTTTTCCTTAACACACCGGGCTGTGAGCCTGCTGCATTTCAGCAGCACCCAGGTCAGTGAGATAAAAGGAGACTAAACCTCCACAAAGGTAAGATGGTTGTGAGCCTCCATCCCAGGCAACAATCCTCACATCCAAAAGTAAAGCTCAGCTTGTAAGTGCACTCATTCAATGTTTTCACTACCAGAATTTAAATGTAACTTGATTGTTTCAGAGGGTACTGGGGTTTTTATTTATTTATTCTGAAAAGTAAGTTGTGAAAAGGAACTTGGGTGGTCATGAGCTGCGTATGGTTTTACAAAAAGTCTTATTAAAGGCCAGAGCAACAATTTCCACCAAAACCTCTGTCACATCACTATCAGCTGAAACAGCCTGCCCAGTCATACTAAATACAGCAGACTAGTTTAAGACTGAATCTCTGTATTCTCTCAACCAATAATATTACATGCACCGACTCCACTATTCTCTAAATGTCAAATGAGTTCATATTTTATTAATGCCAACTCTTTCCCCTCCCCCTAAATATCACACACCCTATATAAAACAAAATTGAGACTACTACAAATCAAATGCACGATTTCCCACTAATCTCAGGGGGAGTTTATAAAGCACATTAAAAGCAGGACCGTTTCCCAAAGAAGAAAAAAAAAAAAGCAGGATCCTATTTCTCCAGGTTAGTAGTCTAATAAGATCTCTGGGTTTTAACAATGTAAGGCTTTGTCACAGTTGAAAGTTTTTCTTCTATGATCACACAGCTCTGCTTTTATTTTACTATTATTATTATATATACACATTTACACACACTCATACCTTTAAATATTTTATTCAACCATATATATATACACCTTTAAATACTTTATTCAACCATATATATATATATTTCTACTAATATAAAACTCTGCTTATGCTCTTTGCTTTAAAATGAGAATATTCACATGGGGGTTTACTCCAGTACAGAAAAGGCAATAAAATTATATGGTTACAGATTGTTCAAGGTATGTCTCGGTATGAGTAAACTTATTTAGAAGACTTGTGCTCTGGCACAGAAACCTCTATCTTTCTTACTCCCCTACTACTGAATTTAAACCACAGGAGTTTTAACATGTACATACTCCCAAAAACAAGCCACCAAGTCATGCTGGTGAGACCAGAAGATAATGAACTCCTCTAAAAGGCCCAGCCTGCAGCAGCTTGGGCTACAGCTATTTTATCTTCACAAAACTCCCCCATCCTCACCAGATGGGCCCGTCCAAAACAGATACACAGAGTTTATTTCACTCTTCCTTTTTTTTTTTCCCCCTGCAAGTAAATGGGGTGTTGTACCTAAATCGGGAGGTTTTTCTCTATGGTTAAAGCCTAAGTAAGCAGTTTTACATTTGGATTTGTCCCCAGGCTGCATTCTACTGCTGCTCACTGGTATTGGTACCACTGATCCCAGCCTCATATCGAACACCTCAAAACTCTAAATGGCTTAAAACCCGTTTAAAAAACAAAAACAAAACCAAAACAACAAAACACCCCCCAAAAAATAAACCAAATGTAAAAACAAACAAACAAACCCCAAAACAAACAAAAACTTCTCATACGTGGCAGCACCACACCAGAGGAGCAAAAAGCACTTGCCTCTAAGTCACAACTCTTGGCAAAAAAAATACAAAGTATGAAAACTTTCAGAAGAATAATAATCAATATGAAGCAAAGGGAAGCATATTATAATTGTCATTTATTATTTTGCAGCTGCCCTTGAAAGCAGGGAACTAAGGTGATGCATATAATTAAAACTAACAGAAAGTAAACGTGACTTGTACAAAACATTCAAACACAAACACTTTATGACATCTTCAGAAAGTAAGTGAAACCTGTAGGTGGGAGCATTGCTTAAGATGACAAAATAATATTTCAAATTATATCCCTTTATGCAAAATAATTGTAAAATTTGCCTTTGGAATACCTGTTCAAATGTTAATTGGTAGAGAAATGAAATAAAAAGAATGGACAAACTGATTCAAAAGTTATACCACCAGAGCTTAAGTAAGTGACAAAATTGCTGTCCCAGCCAGCCCAAGCAAAGGGAGCTGTAACAAATCCCCTGTTGTTTACCTGGCTGTACATTTAAACAGATTCACTAAGAAGTGCTGGTGGAAATACACAAATAAAGACAAGAGAACTGTATCCCAGCTGACACTGTCACATGAAAGGCACAAAATGAAAGTGGGAGAAAAAGCACAGGATGTGTCCCAGACTGATGCCTGGAGTGCCTTACCCACCAGGTTTGTGCTGGTGATAGTCCATGGACTCCCCTCTACTCTGTGTGAAACGAGAGCTGAGCCCAAAGGATACCAGAACCAGAAATGGCTCAGCATGTGCCATGAACCCAGTTCTCACCTTTGCACATGGAGATGCATATCCATAAAGAAATTAGTTCTAAAAAAATTCCCTTAGCAAAGAACACTGTCCTTAAGCTGCACCCAGCTCCTGATTTATGGCATGCAGCAGGGCCCTGCAGCAATATATTGCCCTGCTATTCACATACCTGTCACAACACTCAGTTCCCATGTTGCTTTACTCATTTCTCATCATCCCATGATTTTTAAAATAAATTTTTCACTAGAGAATAAAGCTTCCTCAAACTCCCTCTTAGAAAAGAAAAAAAAAAAACAACCAAACGCATGCATTACTTTAAAAGACAGCAACAATAAAAAAAAGCAGACTGTAAAACCTAATCAAATCAATCCCAGTGGCTGCAGCAACGTGGCACTAACAGAGATACAACAGGATAAACAGATCATGGTTTCTTTGTTAATACTGCTTTTACCAATTTTCTGTTCAGGTTTCTCACTTGATGACATCCTCTTTCAAAAATACACACAGTGTTTCCACTACAAAACGCTGAGAAGACAAATAAAGACCCTGTCTGAAGCTACCACAGAACCCAGGCTCTCCTCCCCAGAAATAATTCAGCTGTTGTTACCATCACACAAACCCTCAGCCATAGTTGTCTTCACTTCCATGCTTTCCTCTACCCTCCTGGTAGGACCCTGTCTTTTTTTTTTTTCCCCCTCAATAGGTTTTCTAAAATCCATCATCTGTTATCCAGACCTACACCTGAATCCAGAGTCGCCTCCTGCACTATGACATTGCTCTCTCTGCTTCCACTGTGAAACTGAGACTAATTAATTTCCAATTTTTCTAAATTTTGATCTCCCTTTAGTTTGCCACACCCTCCCCTGAAATCAAATTACTGATTTTAAGAAAGTTGCAGTATTCAAGTTAAAAATCATTTCAAATACTGTCACTTAAAATACTGTCACTGTACTGAACTTTGTCGTTTCAGTATTTATTTCAATTACAGTTTTTCCAGGCAAGAAAAGTACCTTTTAAGATATCCATCGAATCAATATCATTTAAGAGATGCACTATCTATTAGAGGTGTGGCTGTCTAAACGTTTTCAATCAAATGTAATTAATGAAAACTTTTTTCACCTTGAAAAGTCAGCCACATGCAGGACAGACACTCTTCAGCATCCTTCCCAAAGTTGCCTTTAGGAACATTGTAACCACATGAAATCCTATTAGAAGGTGCTGAACTCCTACATTGTGACTCTTCCGGCAGCCTTCTACATAACAAAAATGCAATGAAGTACCATACAACTTTCCCCCCCTTATTATGCTAAATCCTTATCAAATTCAATAGTGTGACATCGTTCAAAATCCTGCCTAACAATGGCTCGCAGGAGGTCAAGAGATGTCGGCTTTGTTTTAGTTTCACGTGCTTTCCAGTCTATTAATGCTAAAAGAAAAAGAACCTTCACAGAAATAACCGATAAAGATCAAACCCAACTAAACAAAGGGAAGGAAATTCAGAGTTAAAACTGGTACTTAGCTCTTTGCTAAGCAAGCAGCCCATTGTGCCAAAGGTGCTGGGCGGCACAAGGACCCCGGGTCACACAATGCCCAGGAATAACAAGGTGAGGGAAGGAGCTTTCAGCTCTCCACTTCCCGTGCCCTTGTTGGTTCGGGCCAGAGCTGTTGTTTTAAGAGAGTATTTGTATTTCTTGGGAGGAACTACTGGGCAGACCCCGACTCCTTTGTGCGGCAGGTTGCGGGTGGAATGGAATGTGTCATGCGGCACACGTTCCACTCGCAACCCGGAGGACAAAGGATTCACTGATCAGGGGGGACAATTAGTCCCAATTAGGCCTATTTCGCAGCTGAGTGTAAGGGCTGGGGGAAGGGAGCTTAATTTTTAAAGCAATGGGTCCCTCAGGCGAGTTAAAAGAAAGATCAGTAGAGTGACAAGCTTGAGAACGTTCGCCCCACCAGTCGGCACAGGGGAGTTCCACAGAGGCGATGGCGGGCAGTCACCTCCAGGAGAGGATGGAGCAGGGCTTCTCAAACCTCAGACAGCCAGGTAAGAAATCTGACAACCATTTAGCCTCTTAGCTCATGTGACTAACCAAACTTCCCCGTTTTCAACCCACTCCTTCAGCAGCGGTTCTCCGTCTCAGGCACAGGCAGACACACGCACAGACACACGGGCAGGAAGGTCGGGAATACTCACATATGCACATGTGGAGGCTGGAACCTGCTCTGGTTGATGTTGTAGTGTGTAAACGCCTGCGTTGGGTTGGAGCTGTATTCATCCACTGTTATGGTAACTTTGCCTTGTGAAGGAATTCCATGAGCCATCCTTCCTCCTTATGGACATGAGCAGCTCACAACTTCCCAAGGCCAGGAGCAGGGTAGGGCATTGTGGTCCAGGCAGCTCCCGATTCCCAGCAGCTCCTCATCAACTCCGTGACCTCTGCCAGGAGAGAAAGACAGCACACACTGCTATAAGCTATGAGGAGATGTAAACATACACAGACAGATTACTCTATCCTCTCCTGATTTCTATTCAGACACCTTTTTCTATATTTTTTATGTAACCATCACCCCACTCTCTAAGCATTACTATTCACTTTTTTGTTTGTTTGTTTATCTTGGGGCGGGGGGAATAAAACATGAGTTTAAAGCTTCTGTTAAATACTCCACATTTCATATTCTTTATTTGAAATAATATCTTGTGCTAACTGCAACCACGAAAACTAACAAGTGGACCCAGTTTGCTGAAAGATAAACGACTTTCCACAAACATACACACTTGTTTTCTAGGCCCTATTGCAGCTTTACCACATGAATGACAATCTAGAGACTTATAAGAAACTGATGTAAAGAACATTTTAAAATTGCATAGCTAAAGTTACACCCAAATGCCTTTAAATCAAAGCATTTATTTGTCCAGAGAAAGGCGATTATCCAGACAACGTTTGCAAAATATTCATGTTATAGTGCACTAGCAATGAAACTGGTTTGGATTCACCACCAGACAGTAATGATTTATCTGACAGATTTAAGTGCGATTTTATGCACAAATATTTCTGAATAAGATGAAAGAAATAGGCTCTTTCCTCCGTATGCATCCCTATCTTTCACTTCTTCAAAGTGCTCTTAAACGTATCTTGTGTCAAGACTGGGTGTACACTGTAATATAAGCAAAACCCAAATAGCCAGAAACCTCCCAAACCTGCTCTGCTGAGCTTCTTGCACAAAATCTGAGCTTCGATTTCTGCCGTCAATAAACTGAGGATCCCTCAGCTGCCTTCCTTTCAGAGGGACTCTGTGAAAATTGATCAGCTGATGTTCGAAGAACACTTTCAAGACGAGCAGCTCACGAGGCAGATGCTCAGCTGGGACACACTATCCCAGCAAGGACTGACATGAAATCATGACACCTGGCATCAGCTGATAGCCCTCCCTTTAGCTGCCACACGCAATAGTGTTTTTTCCATGTCTGCTGTGTAATTCACAAAAGTAAATCAGTGCTTACTGGGAGGAACAAAGAGATGGGAAAGAGAAGAGAATGATTTGAGCCCTGAGCATCAACACTGGTTTTTCAGTGTGATTTTCCTGGACCTCTCTAGCTCCCAAATAGAAATGTGTTTGCCATGTGTAACATGAAATACTTGAAATCTTTGATTTGTATTCAAAATATATTTTTAATACAAAGACTAATTTCCAGTTTGGCATGAAGCATGATGAAAATGCCCTGCAAATGGCAGATGGCCTGCTATAGGCCATTTATTTTACTATTTTACCACCTCAGGCCTATGTAGGCTTCCATATGTTAGTTGGGTTAAGACATTCTGCAACCTTCATTCCAGTAACTGGGTTCTATCCTACGTCTTCTTTAGATGGAGGGAAAAAATATAAAAGAAGATGAAACTAAAGCATAAAGTCCCAGCTTAACAAACTGTCACTAGTGAGATGGTACATCTTTGTAACTCAGGTTATGGTCTGGTCTCCACACTTAGTAAGAACAAGTGCAATAGTTTCAGGAGCAAGGTGAGCTTTACTGAAACAAATCTTTGCTGCAACAACTGCTCACAAATCTTAATGTAGCAGTTACCACACCAAGTTTGCAGCTGTTTCCTTAATTTCCTTTACCATTATATTTTAGTGTTATTTTGCATAACAGTAAAACACAACACCTGCTTCAAACCGCAGTCCTGTTCCAAGCACTGTAATTCTTTGGAGATAGGAACTGCGAAGAGTGCACAACACAGAGGAGCATAATTGCCCTGTACTGAAAAGTAAATACAAATAAAAACATCTTCCTGCCAGAGAAATGACTGTCATTAGCAAGAATGCTGGCCATCAGAGCTCCCAGGAAAAAACCGGAACAACTAGACTTTTTCTTTTACACAGCAAGAACTTTAGCGTCTGCATATATTAAGAAGTGATGTGAAAATTACATGTGTAATGTTACTTTTTTCCACAATTAAAAACAACAATATAAAACAACACATTAAACCAACAACAAAAATATGCTTGGGCTTTCAGAAAAGCTAAATGACACTGTTTTTAGTAATCCAGCATAAGAGAGGTCAGAACATTAAATTTCATATTATAGTTCACTCATGGAAGAAAAATCTAATTTGTTCATGAGAGTGAATTATACATACAGATAATAAGCATTTTTTTCATGGTTTATAACAATCCATGTTACAGAAAGAAATTACAACTAACTGGCATAAAACAAATGACAAGAGGATACTTGAATAGCTGTATTAAATACTTTTAAGTTGACTCTCAGTAAGATTATAAGTATATAAGCTGCAATTCCTTCCCATTGTTCTAATCTTCAATCTTGAAAATAAATCTCTATACTTAAATTAGGACAAAGCTGAACAAAATATCCTTTTAAGCTGAAATTCACAACAAATGCCAGACTGGAGGTTAAAAAAGAAAGTAAAATTTGAAGCTGGCTTCTGTGTCAATTCTCTTAATTTCCTTTTAGTACTCCATAGAGTACTACAGCTCACCTATCAGAAGTATCTAATTATTACCTTCCTTACTGTGAATGTCTCTGAAGAAAATAGAAAAAGAAGCTGAACCCTTCAAAACTTTAAAAAAAAATATTTTAGGCCCAAGATTAAAACAAAATAAATTAAAAAGACTACTTTGAATCGCTCCTGTTCTTCTTTCTCTAACTGTGAGCACTGTTTGAAGGTTACATGCAGGAAATGATACAAAAGAATAAAAGTTGCATTATTTTCCCATCTATCAAGTATAACAATGTGTAATATCTTCCACGCTTTACGAGGCAGTTTTAAGTAAGAATGACCGCATTAAAAACCTAAATAATGATTTTTTTGGCGTGTTGTGTTTTCCCAAATATAGGCAGCTATCCTTTTCCAGAGTGTATTTGTACCGGCAGCGAGACAGGAGATGTGCCATTGTACACATCTGCTCAGTGTTACAGGTAAAACCCGGCACTTTTTCAGAACAGGGCTGGCCCAAACTTAGGCGCAGCTAATTGTAAATCCGTACGCTGCTGCCCTGTCATAAAAACTACCACGAAATAAGCACAGGTATTTGAAATGTAACGTTACATTTCACGGAGAGCTACACACACGAGCCCTGCGTATGTACACGCACACACACAGGCACGCGAAAAACCCATTTCCCCAAATAAAATATTTACGCCTTCCTCATCTGAATTTCAAACATTTGCCTCTGGCTGAGCTCGGGCCGTAAGAGAAAATGCTGAAAGGCAGGAGACGGGAAGGGTTAATCCCGTGTCAACACCTTCTGTTGATACATCCACTATCCCGGCGCTGTTACACCGACACCGCACGTTCCGCCCGCCCGGGGCGCGGGCACCGGCCCCGCCGCCCCCGCATCCCCCCGCACTCACGCTGCGCTGCCCCTCAACCCGCGGGGGCTTGGCAGCGGCCCCGCAGCGCCCGAGATGCTGCGCTGCAGTTTGCGGACAACTCCGGGCTCCAGACACCCCATCGAGTCCGGCGGAGGCGCAGGGGGGGCCGGACCCCGACGCTCCCCCGCCCCGTTCCCCCCCACACCCCGCCGACCCCCGGTACCTGCGCTCCCGGCCGCTCCCCACCGCCGCCCGCCGCCGCTCCCGGGCCGCCCCGGCCGCGGCCCCGCGGGGCGCCGGGCTCGCCCCCCGGTGATTGATGGCTCCGGGTGGCCAATGGCTCCGGCGCGGCCCCGTCCCGGCGTGTGCCGCAGCCCCCGCCCCGCGCCCCCTGCCCTGCCCTGCCCCCGCCCCGCGGCTCCGGGGGGCATCGCTGCCCTGTCTGCGCCGTACGTGCCGCGCCGCACAAAGTTCGCGTCGCCCCCGTGTCCCCCGGCTGCCACGGGCCGGGATGATCCGCGGGGGGAGGATGCTCGGGGGAGGGATGCGATGAACTCCACGGCAGCCGCGGGCGAGCGCGGCGGGGCCGGGAGGGTGGGAGGGCGGAGGCGGGATGCCCGCTGCTTTTTATCCCGGCGGTGCCAAGCGCGCCGTCCCCCGCACCTCGCCCCCAACCCCTTGAAAGCTTCCAAGTGTCTGAGGCCTCCGGGATCAGCGTTTCAGACCGGGTTCTACGCCGGCCAAAGGGCGAGGGGCAACTCCGCCGGGGAACGGCGAACCAGCCCGCTTTTCCCTCCTTTACTTTTGCGGCGTGTTCCCCCCCTACACACACACACACACACGCACCCCCATCCCCGGGTCCCTCGGCGCCGGCAGCCCCGTCCCCGCCGGCCGCTCGGCGCTGCCGCCCGCCCGCCCGCTGGCCCCAGCCAGCACAATGCTCCCCGGCCTACCCTCCCGGCCCCGCCGCGCCGCCCCCCGCCCCGACCCCGCGCCGGCAGCCCCGCACACACCCCCGGCCGCCCCCGCGCCGCTTCCAGCGCCGCCGACCCCTCGCCGCCCCCCGGCCCGGGCGGGGGGCGCGGCGGCGGCCGAGGGCAGCGGGGGCACGGCCTGGGCAGCGGGGCAGGGCAGCCGCGCTCAGCGCCGCCGGGAACGCGCCGCGGCTGCGGGGAAGCGCCGCCGCCGCCGCCGCTGCCGCCGCCGCACCGACCCGACCGACCCGACCCGACCCGGCGGGCTCGGGCGGTCACGCCGGGGGGCGGCAGGAGCGCAGGCGGCCGGGTTTATCCTCATTATTGTTCGCGGGAGGCTGGACCCGCCGCCGCCGCCGCTGGAGCTCCTGCCCGCCCCCCCCCTCCCTCCCGCTCTCTCGCCCATGACACGGCACCTCTAACCCGCCGCTTTGTGCGGCGCTGCCCCCGCCGTGCCCGCCCTGCACCGACACCGGCCCGGGGCCGCTCACCTTCCCTCCGCCGGCTGCCGCTGCGGGCGGGTCGGGGATGCCTTCAGCGGGGCCGCTCCATGGGGCTGCGGGGGCGCGGCCGGGGCAGAGCCTGCGCCCGACCCCGCGGCGGTGCCCGGCGGGGCCCTGGCTCCGCGTCCGGGTCCGGGTCCGGCTGCGGGAGCGGGGCGGCGGCGGGGGCGGGCGCGGTGCAGTGATCGGGACTGCCACTGGGGTCAGGGAGCAGGCACCAGGAAACACGGCGGCCACGGCGCGCTGCTCGCACACACACACACACACACACACGCACGGCTCCTCCCGCTGCCTCGCACTTCACCCCCCCGGGCAGGGAGGGAGGGAGGGAGCAGTCGCTGCTGCATTTCCCAAGTGCGGCACGGCTTTCCCCCCGCCGGGCCGGCTGGAGCGGTGGCTGTGCCGCCCATTGGGGTCACGCAGGGGTGCCCCGGGGGAGCGGGGAGGGCAGCGCCGGAGCCCACCGGGACCCCCTTCCCCGCCGCCGAGGGGCAGCGCCCGCCTCGCACCCCCAAACACGGCCGGCCCCGCTCCGCGCACCGCCGATCGGCTCTGTCCCTGCCCACACGAATAGCAAAATAAATAAGTAACAACAGCAAAAATTTAAAAAAAAAAAAAAAAAAAGTAAAAAAAAAAAAAATCCTTGGAACGGGTTTTCGCATCTTCCGCCGCACCTTTCGTCACTGGGTGTCAATGCGGTGCTCTGCTCCTTTGTAGGTAAGCTCACCTCAGCGGCCAGAAAAACCACACAGAAACACCACTGCAGGGTTCGCCTTTGAGGCCGAACATTGTCTTAGGGTGACTGGGGCTTTTCTATGGAAAGATAGAATCAGGGAATCACGGATGAAAAAGATGTTGTCTTTTTCTTTTTTTTTTTGTCTTCCTCCCCCCCTCCCCATCCACAGCAATTGTGTCAACAGCCACAACAGTAACAAAGTAAAGATTATAGGTGTTTGCTCTGTTACTTTCAAGACAGCAAATGGAAGGGGAGACTTCCACAAAGGTACACTTACAATGGGGAGGAAAAAAAGAAATAAGGAAGAAAAGGAAAAAATCCAAACAATTTTGAATAGTCGAGCAGATAGAAAATAGATAACAGGTCTCTAAGAGTAAATAGTGTCCTATATATCTTAAATAAGTAATTTTTACTCTGGCCAACCTTCAGACATAGATGGCAAGCAGGCAGGTTTTTCTTTGTTACTGAAAACTGTGAGAAGGGTCCCTTGTATTGCCAGGCAGAAATCCACTGGGATGGATTGTTCTGTTTAGAATCATGGCAAACTAAGAAAAAATCAACCTAAAAAAGACTAAATGGCAAAAGGTTTTTTCCAAATTTGCCCTTTCAGTCCCTCTTTTTTTTTTTTTTTTTTTTTTTTTTACTATTGTCTTTATCGCTTTTAACAGAAGCAAGCACTGTGAACCACCAAAGGAAAATTCCTGTTTCAGACAAAATGGCCCACAGATGAGTCGTCCTCCTAATCGAATCAAAGTAACATTTCCAGGGAAACTTTGCCTGGAATGAAGTCTTGAGGCCATAGTTTCACAAGAATTTTTAGCTAACTTACTCTGACACAGCTGTAAAAAAAGCAGTCCAGCATTCAGCCCACTCCCCCCACTTCTGTCCCTGCACTCACCCTGCTGTGAGAGCTGGGGACCCCACCTGGGGCACTGATCCATTTAGCACCAGGGAAAAACGTTCTGGTTCGGTGTGAGTCCGTATCCTCACTCAGTCCACTTCACAACTGCACAAACACTTCTTCTGGAACAAGACAGGGAGTGAGATGAGCAACTGAGGACAGAGAGAGAGCAGGACAGCTTCATTGGTACCACTGCCAACTTCAGCATAGGATCAGGGAGGGGCAGGGGAGGTGAGGTGAGGAGAAGCAGCGAACTTGACCCTGAACCTGCTGCATCCCTTCTCCCCAGCTGCAGCAGAAAGACTTTTCCTGTAGTTGTGGAGCCCCCAGCACTGCAAAAAGGAGCTTCTAGCCCAGAGGGAGAAACAAGGTGGAAGCCTGGGTAGGTGGCTGGACTGGGAGTTAGAAAGCTCAAAGACCTTCTCTCTGATGCTCTGTGTGGCAAGAGACAGATCAGACATTACCCCAGTGTTTCAGTGTCCTGGTACTGAAGTGAGCACTTACCTGATCTACTGGTCCTTATACAAAGCAAGCTCTGGGACCTGAAAGTCAGAGGTACCTGGGTACTTGTGTGAATCCAGAGTGGGACCTGACTCTAGGTTCACACTTCTATCACAATACTGAGTGCTCCTCACCACCACCAAGCTGTAATACAGTCACCAGGAGCACTGGTTTTAATATATGACTTGACAAACTCTGGAACATTTTCTGTTAAGAGCACACAAGGAAACTTTTTCCCTTTTTTCAAACTACTTGTTTTCTGTTTCCCCAAGAACAGCATGCTTTCCGAAGATGCACCCACTTTAGAAATGTGCTGGCCCTGGGAGTTGCTAAAAGAAGGAAAAAAATATTTTATTTAAATTCATTACAGGATTTTCTGAGGAAAGGAGTTGCTTTCTCTAATTCACAGGAGCAGCATCAAAATGCAAATACAGAAAAATAAAACATCTATATTTTGGCTGGAATGTGTACTTATTAATACACACTTGACAAGAGGATCTCAGAGATAAATTCAAAAAGTGAAAAAAGTAAGTGAGCTGTTTATTGTGAGTGTCACAGGACTGATTTTTCTAGCTGGGTGAAATTCAAAACAGTGAACAAACAGCTCTTGTTTACTTTAATACTTCCTATTTGTAATATTAAAATTGTATGTTACACATGAAACCTTAGTCACATTCAGAGTTTGCACTGGATTTTATTTTTTCACTTCTACAAATCCAAAGTGAGTGTCATCAAATGTACAGATGCAGGAGATGCATGTTAAATATTATAAAACACTATACTATCCCAAAAAGCATACCCATTCTTCAAAATCTATTATGTCATCTCTAATACAGTTCATAGGAACCACTGTCTCCAGTTTCTGCCAAGCACAAGACAGAGCTTTTGAGACACACACAGGGTAATCTGGAGTGAACCACAGACACCCATCTCATTTTGCTGTTCAGGAAAAAGCTTCCCTGAGTATCTGTGAAGCAATACAAGAAAGAATAATTTAAAGTTCACCTCTGAGAACTCATTCCTTAAATAACAGAATTTTTTGAGTGATCTTTTACACAGAAAGGAGTTAAAAACAAAACAACAAACAAACAAAACCCACAAAACAAAACCAACCAACCAAAACCAAACAATTTTCAACCAACCAACCAAACAACCCCCCAATTTTCAAACACGTGCAAACCACACAAGAGGAACAAATTCATTTTTTTTAAAAAAGCCTCCTTCCAAAAAGGGTGTCAAGGCAGGTCAGTTCCCCAGTCTAGTCCACAGCACAGTCCCTGGAATGCCCACACTGGCACACGGGAGACTGCCTCTGTCTGCAGCGTGAGACCAACACCAGCACAGGGTGTGCTACAGTTTCACAAAAAGTTAGGCCAGTGTTTCACACTATCTTTTCGTTTGGACACAGTGTCAGAGGGGGTTAATTTGTTTGTTTCAGTACATGGCCTT